CTTACAATTATAAAAACTCAAAGTATCTGTTACATTTTTACTGATATTTAAATAAAAACAAAAAAAAAAGATTGTATTTGTATATTTCCATTTTCTATTATTTCTAATATGGAAATATACTAATATGACATTTCTTTAAACCTTTTTCGAATATACAGGGTATCTCAGCTAGAGATGGCCACCTATTGTAATGTGAATAATTAACTCAATTAATAATAAACTCAAAGTCTGTCTCTTATACACATCTAGATGTGTATAAGAGACAGGATTATACTTGTATATTTCCATTTTCTATTATTTCTAATATAGAAGTATACTAATATGACATTTCTTTAAACCTTTTTCGAATATACAGGGTATCTCAGCTAGAGATGGCCACCTATTGTAATGTGAATAATTAACTCAATTAATAATAAACTCAAAGTCTGTCTCTTATACACATCTAGATGTGTATAAGAGACAGGATTATACTTGTATATTTCCATTTTCTATTATTTCTAATATAGAAGTATACTAATATGACATTTCTTTAAACCTTTTTCGAATATACAGGGTATCTCAGCTAGAGATGGCCACCTATTGTAATGTGAATAATTAACTCAATTAATAATAAACTCAAAGTCTGTCTCTTATACACATCTAGATGTGTATAAGAGACAGGATTATACTTGTATATTTCCATTTTCTATTATTTCTAATATAGAAGTATACTAATATGACATTTCTTTAAACCTTTTTCGAATATACAGGGTATCTCAGCTAGAGATGGCCACCTATTGTAATGTGAATAATTAACTCAATTAATAATAAACTCAAAGTCTGTCTCTTATACACATCTAGATGTGTATAAGAGACAGGATTATACTTGTATATTTCCATTTTCTATTATTTCTAATATAGAAGTATACTAATATGACATTTCTTTAAACCTTTTTCGAATATACAGGGTATCTCAGCTAGAGATGGCCACCTATTGTAATGTGAATAATTAACTCAATTAATAATAAACTCAAAGTCTGTCTCTTATACACATCTAGATGTGTATAAGAGACAGGATTATACTTGTATATTTCCATTTTCTATTATTTCTAATATAGAAGTATACTAATATGACATTTCTTTAAACCTTTTTCGAATATACAGGGTATCTCAGCTAGAGATGGCCACCTATTGTAATGTGAATAATTAACTCAATTAATAATAAACTCAAAGTAACTGTTACATTTTTACTGATATTTGAACAAAAAAAGAAAGATTATACTTATATATTTCCATTTTCTATAATTTCTAATATAGAAATATACTAATATGACACATTCCGTTAAGCTTTTCTCAAATATACAGGGTATCTCAGCTAAAGATGGCCTATTATACTGTGAATAATTCAAAGTAATAACTTACTGTGAATAACTCAAAGTAACTGTTACATTTTTATTAATATTTAAAAAAGAAAAAAAAACAAAAACAAAAAAAGGAAAAATTATATTTGTATATTTTCATTTCCTATTATATATAATATGGAAATATATACAAATATGCTGTTTTGATAACTTTTTGTTTAAATATCGGCAACATTGTAAAAATCACGATAAATCTATAATTACTCACACCTATCTATCAGAGATAGATGATAATTAATTATAGTTTTAAACTCGAGAAAAAGAGCGCATTAACACCTGCCGCCGTCGGCCAGCACCTTCCTGCTCCGCCACAATTGCCGGTGGTAACGGACTGGTGTCATGTTCACAAGTAAATAGCAAACACCGATGGCAGACGGAAACATATTTTTATCACAGCTGTGGATGTTGAAAGTGTCAACCGACAATGTTAACATCTCTCAAGGGGGTTAGTTAAAGAAAAAAAAAAAGCATAGTAGAAATATAGATTCCGAATATTTACATAAATTTTCATGTTTAAAAAATTCCTTGCATGATTATTAAAACGTAAGAAGAACATCATCTGTTAATTAGAAAATTTTTCGACGTAGAAGTAACAATTGTTTTCAATGAATGGATGATATTTTTTTCGTGCATTTTAATGGTCACGCAAGGAATTTTAAACATGAAAATTTGTATAAATGTTCTGAATTCTACCTTTTTTTGTTACGGTTTCGCTATGTTTTTACTACGTTTTTCTTCTTTGATGGGACTGGGCCTTGAGAACCGGCTATGGGGCCCGGAAAATGCTTTTCTCTCAAGCTCCGCGATGATGGCAGCAACTTGACAGTGACGTATATTTGGGTTCGCTTCTTTAATTTGATATTTTAATCGCTGTGGCCGGGTCTAGTTTGACCCAGAAAAGTCTTTGGTTAGTTGCTGGCTGATAGAAAAGGATTGGGAAATAGAAAGTAAATAAATAGAATAGAGGGGGAATGGATGTAATAAATGAAAAATGGATGTAATAAATAGAAAATATATGTAATAAATAGAAAACAAATCTAATTAAATCTAATTAAATATATGAGAAGGGGGTGATTCTACATGAAAAAAAGAAACAAATCGAAAATAAAGAATAAAATTTGTTCGGTTAAGGCGTCGTTGTCGCGAGAATCGACTTTGCATGTTCAACATTTCCAACGATTTTTGTACTAATAAAGTAAGTTTGTGACTAAATTACAGATTATATTTTCTATTAAAACGGAATAACTTTTTTAGAACTGGTATAAACGATTTGAACTCTTTTTAGATGATACAGAGAGACCGGTCTACTAGACCATAATTAAAATTCTTATTTTTTTTAAAATTTTGCTATTGCTTGAAACATCAAAAAAAATAAAAGCTCATTTTTTAATATTCGAAGTCGATTTTCTCGATTTTCAAAGAGGCCCCGAATGAAAAAACCTTATTCCTTATTTTCAATTTGTTTTCTCGTATAGAATCATCCCCTTTTTGGTTGTCGGGTTCTCGGATGCCGGGACACCCTGTATAATAAAAAAATACATATAATAAATAGAAAATAGATGTAATAAATGTAATAGATAGAAGATAGATAGAAGCTAGATAGAAGATAGATAGAAAATAGATAGAAAATAGATGAAATGATACAAAATAGATATAATACATAGAAAAATAGAGGTTATAGAAAATACACATAATAGATAGAAAAATAGATGTAATACGATGTAGGTAGAAAATACATACAATAGACAGCAAAATAGATGTAAAATAGATATAAAATAAATATAAAATAGCTGTAATAAATATAAAACAGATATAACAGATAACATCTGCTATAATCGACAGGAAACCAGCAAATAAAAACACCAAAAAATAAATAGAAAATAAACAAGAATACCAACTTGTCCAAAATAAATGTCTCGATTCTAACAAACGCTGAACAAAATCATAAATAGTCTCAAACCGTATGAACCGTATCCTCATCGAGCACTATCCTCCAGCCGAGATCCAAACAACCAGCTAACAACCCCTAAACCAAAAACCTCGCAGACCCGCGAAAACTATCGCTCTAAATATAACGACCAGACTTTTGTGCAAAGGCGAAAGAAAAAGAGAATCTTTATGCAAAATACGAATTTTCCGCGTTAATTTGAAGACAGATAATTCTATTTATAATATAAATATATATCTATTAAATATATAATTCTGTTTCTCTTTTTATAATCATTTTAATTAGCTGAAATCGGTACATCGACGGAATGATTCGTAGTCCACTCATTCTCAGTTCCCTCTCCGTCTTTCTGCTATTTTCGGTTTCACTTGAGGGTGTCAGGGTTACTTTTTCCTTGGGTCAGGGAGAAATGATCGAGACTCGTTCGTGTGTAATCATTTATTCGACACGTTCGCTCGGGAGTCAACGTTCGACTGCTGAAAATCCGGGCCTCATCGTGGGCCCTGGTCGGGCCCTCCTTATCGGACGCCTCGTTCGGTCGTCCGAGGAAACGACACGCGTTACCATTCTCCTCGAACGGCCGTTAATTACATTCTAAGAGCGCAGGGTACCGTTGGCGACAGAGAGTCGACGGCAATTGATGTCCCTGCGTCTTTTGTTTATTTAACCCCTTGCCGCACCTCGACGAGTCTGACTCGTCACGAAAATTTCTAGTAAAACAACTTATCGCGTGCAGGCTTCATTCTGTCCCTTAAAATTGCAATAAAAAATTCGAATCTCTATCTCTCTAATCTATTTAATCCATTCGGGCAAATTTCGGCACACAATAAGCATCAATTTTCTTCCCCTTCTAAGAAATTCTAATCGCACTATCCTCCAGCCGAGATTTGTGCAAAGGCGAAAGAAAAAGAGAATCTTTATGCAAAATACGAATTTTCCGCGTTAATTTGAATTAATTGCGAAGGAAATGGTATGTCAAGGGGTTAATGCGTCGCCGTGGCCGCAATATATTTGCCCATTTTTGTTCGCCATGAACGCGTAAATATCCGATCGACGACAAATCCAACCCCCGGAATGCTCACCTGGTGCAGGCGACGGAGGAGTCGGCCGGCCTGGTCGCTGTGCCCACCCTGTGCCTCATCCTCTGCCCCCTGTCCTCGTAATCGTAGTTCGAATGACTCGCCATGCCTTCGGTCTCGGTTTCTCACCAGCTCATTAATCACTTCACTGATCCCGCAACCGGATTGACTCGACCGCAATTAAGACCTCGCCGGTCCCTCTGGCACACTTAAACGGTTGCTTCCTTAATCCTTTTACTCTCGGGGGTGTCCTGTCGGCGGCAACTCTCGCCGGGGGTTGTCCGTCGGGCACCGACTCTTCTCGGGGATATCACTTCGCGGGGGTGTCGGCGGGGGGGTTGCGAGGGTCGACGGCGCCAGCGAGAGGTTGTTTCCGACTATCGGCCGTGTCCCTGGGGAGGCCGGTTTATATAGCGAACGCCGGCGGAGCTTGAAGGGGATGATCGATACCAACCCCTGGGCGGAGATTCCGTCCAATCGCGACCGTTCCCGGCCGCCAACGGTTGTCAGACGTTCCGCCGATTGGCGGGCCGGTTAATAGCGGCTGCTTTATGCCCGAAACTTCTGCGGTTCATTGTTACTGCCCGACTGAAATTTTATTTCTATCGTTTTCCACCCGCGCGACGCCCCGAGGGGGTGAGGAGTTTCAATTTGGCGGCGATGCATCAACCCGGCCGTCCCAGGAGCCTTCTGGATTCGCTCCTTCGACGCGGAATCTCGGGAATTCTTCTTCGACGGCCTTTTTTCCTCGGAGGATACCCCCTTCGGGTGGATTCGAGGGTCGGCGTCGGGGTTCGGCATTGCTCGGGAGAATATTTATATATTTCGGCATATTTTGTTTGAAATGATGCGATTGTTTTTTGGTTTGTTTTCAATTGGGATAAATTGGTTTCAAGTGTAATCGTTTGCTTCAATTATTCGCCGAATAACGAACAATTTGTCGTAAGCATTGTTCGATTAATTGAAAGCGAAATTTTTGAGAATTCATAAGAATTATTGAATTAATTGGACCTGAAATTAATCAGAATTCTAGCATTAATTGGAACTGAAATTAATAAGAATAAATAAGAATTCGTGAATTAATTGGAACTGAATTTGATAAGAATTGATAAGAATTAATAAGAATTCTTGAATTAATTGCAACTGAAATTAATAAGAGTTAATAAAAATTAATAGGAATTCTTGAACAAATTGGAACTGAAATGATAAAAATGTGTGAATAAAAATGATTAAATTAACGGTAACTGAAATTAATAACAATTAATAAGAACTCTTTGATTAATTGGATTAATAACAATTAATAAGAACTATTCGATTAATTGGATTAATAACAATTAATAAGAACTCTTCGATTAATTGGATAAATAACAATTAAAAAGAAATATTCG